TTAATTTAAAAAAGTACATTTCAAACATGCACTACTTAGACTTACATATAATGAAGCTGACAAATGTGGTGTGGGGAAAAAGTACTTAAAGGTTCTCTAGTTGCTTGGGTTTTCAGTCTAGCTAGAATGGCGGCCTCGATTGCCAGATTAGTCAGACACTGTTTTGTGAGAACACAGGAGGAATTTCAATACAGCAAAATATTGAGTTTTCTCTGTGAAACGCTTGCTGCTCTCTCACAATACTCTAGAAACTCCCCAACAGCACGCAATAAAAAAAAAAACACCTTGGAAGAAGGACAGGAAAAAACACCTCTCTTCACCAAGGTTATTCAATGATAAGCAACAGTGCTCAGGCACACAATGACGGCTCAAAGTGCCAGCTATTTCGAAAGCCATGTAATTGTAGATTTTGTTAATCATAGTCCTTGAGGGTTGGTATATTCACTGCCTGAGAGTAACAGTAAATAATCTGACTAAAGACATAATTTAAAGATATGGAAGCAGATTCAGTCATAAGGACTGTATGTTGCATGACTTCTTATAGATAAAACCACTTAATTGTTCATAAAGCAACCTCCAAATGCTGCTCTCAGCCACATACTACATTACAAATCATTTTAAGGGGATCTAACGATGGCTGCATTAACAAGCAAGAACTGTGGAAAATTATATTTTATTTATAATTTTTTTGGCGAGATGCACACACATACTGCAAGACTACAACCTACAGCCAGGCAACACTCTAGGCGTAGTATATCTTTTCTGGACTAAAGATAGGAAAATCTCCAATCTTTTTGGCCACTAAAAAAAAAAATCAAGAATTTAGCATGTCTAATTAAAATGTAAACAGTGTAATGAGGACATCAGTGATTTAGGCAAACGTCTCTCTGGCTGCCACTGGGGGTATGATAATTACAGAGGCAAATCTATGAATGCACATGAATCTCCTACAAGTCCAGATTAAAAGCCTTAGTGCTAAACCTAGTTTAGTACACCTGGGGATTGTCTATTCTAGCCAATCCCCAACAGGCTCGGAGCTGCCTCGTCTCCTTATGAGTGCAGAGACACCTCATGTGAAACAAAGCCTCTGTTACAACGTGTTGAAATGAGGAGAACAAGGAGTTTAAGGCAACAAATGCTATACTGTGTAAATAATATGCCTGGCACATATGGCCTGAATAAACCAGCCCTACAACATGACCCATGAACGCATTTCTGTCGTAATCAGTCATTTAGTAAACCCTAAGCTCTATAAGCACATTGTGCATTATGGCATGGATCACAATAAGACCATGTATGTGTGAAAGATTAGCTTTCTTAAAAAAAGAAAGAGAAAGAGAACAAGGCATTGTGTCTTCCTTCAAACCAGTTCTAGAAAAAGAAAACATGCACAACGAGAAACAGACAGGCACACACACACACAGACAATCACATTCAAATACATGCATGCACATAAAACGGTATAAGATATGCTAGAATGGAACCAGAGAAATCTATGGAGCGATATGTATTACGGGCTGCAGTGATACAATGAGACTAAATGCTTCCTAATATGCAACCTGTGTTGTTTTATCCACTAGAATCTGTTAAACTAAATTAAACTGTGAGTATTTTGTTTGAATTAGATGAAAAAAAACATGACAGGCCTGTAGCTAGGAGACACATGAAGGGTAAGTACAAGCAGCCAATGGTAGGCACATGCATTTTAGAAAATGTCTATGCCATATGCTGTCACTCAGAGGAAAAAAAAAAAAGTCTGAGCAGACAGTCGCTGTGTCTAAATGAGATGGTAGGAGGAGGAGGAGGAGGGGAGAGAAAGGGAGGATGTCAAGGATTCATGGTCCTTCATCTTTGCAGTAGAGCAAACACGTCCCTCAGTATAGCAACAGACAGCTGCCTCCACTTTCTAATGCAGTCCAACTTAGATCACTGCAAGAATTGTCAGTGTAGAGAGAAACACACAAAGATAACAGCAAGCTGCCATGAGGGAAACGACAGAGATGTGGATACAAGACAGGGAGACGCACAGCGAAAAGAAAGAAAGAGAGGGAAGGGAGGGAGGAACACGTAGAATACTTAGAAAAAGGATTGGAGTTTTTTTTTGTCCCCCTGCTAGCGTCTTACTCCATTGGGGACTCCCTCGCTTTTTATATGAAAAACGGTGAAGACACCGCTTAACGTGTTTGCTTTAGGATGACAATCCTATACTGATCTCACACCAAACAGTCAAAGGGATGAGAGAGATGTCTTGTAGTTACTGACAAATAGATCCATCAGTAAAGATGAATATTTTGTCGATTTACATTAGCATTGCAGACATCCCAGGGGTAGTTTACACAGAGTCAGCTGTAGGTATTCAGGAGCTTTAATTGTCATCATTAGTGCATATATATATATTGTCGGTCCTGTTATATACCGCTTCCCTGTTGTAATGGTTTATGTCATACTGTCAATTTTCATCAGCTACATTGCTTCACACAGACACATGATACTATCAAGTCAAATGAATGTTAGATGGACTGAAAATGTTTTGTTCTTGTTCAATCAATCACATCGGTCAAGACAACAATAGAAAAACACAAATTTCTGCAAACCTAATTTGATTTATGTGGTGCAGTCAGTACACAAAAATATGAGCTGGCAGAGCAGCATTTTGCCTAGAATAAAATAAGAAATTTCAAAATTACTTTGAAAATTGAATTATTGAACAAGGTGCACTGACTCCACTGTGGAGAGAAAAACATCTGCTTTGACCACCATGTGCAAGCAATTCCTTTGTCAATATAACACAACTGAATACACCGAGTATACGTCTATATCTTTGTCTCACTGGGAAATAGGATGCAATTATTTACTTTGCTCCCCATAACTCCTTGTTGGTATTTACAGTCTCTCTTAAAAGTGAGAACACATGTGACACTCAGTAAAGAGGGTGATGAAAACAGGAGGGTCAGCATCTGTCGTCAAATTCGGCTCAGAGATTCATGTCAAGCAACAGCTTAGATTGCTATCATAAGTACTATCCTATCAGAAATAAACAGAGCTGTCAGCTTCTTTCCATGCACACCGGAGGTGTCTGGGGTTAAGTAAGGACCTGCAAGAATCACCTAACACGCTGCAGGAGATCAGACATGGAACCCTTCCAGGGTTTGAACTCTTATAAAGATCCTCAGGTAGTATTTGATAATTAGGACATTTAGGATGCAAGGTGTGAGAGAATGGTTTGATGAATGCAAGAAGATTGTTTTTGTTGTGCAGATGTATTGTAATTCAAGATTAACCTAGTCTTGCACCATATATTCAAACCATAACCCCCACTAAAATTTGGTGTGAACATACGGCAGCATGAAAACACATAATTGTGACTTGTAGAAGTTTTCAATTGAGTTGTGCAGTTTGAAATATGAAATACATTTAAATAGACTGAGAGTATTTTAGATTGCGAGTATATGCAAGCTGTAGATACAGATTTAAATATAATTAATTGCTCCAAAGTATTTGCCACCCATTTCAGTATCCATAACTGAGCAGCTCAAATCAAAGTTATTTTGTAATAAAAACAACCATCACACATGCATGAGGGGGGTCTAAATATGAAACACATAAAAATCTGACCAACAAATTTAATACCCACTTTACAAAAACACATTACAACCAAACACTCAAACATAATGAACGTGGTAGTAATGTACATTTTTTTCCACTGAGTGACAAATGCTGCAATGCTGTTATTTTTGAAGAGGAATGAAAACATACTTCAGCTCACTGCTGATGATGTTAATTTCCTCTCAAAGCAAAACATGCAAATGAAATGTGTGAACACAATTAAGTAAATTGTTCTATGGAGGTGGAAAAGGTTCACTCAGGACAAAGTGTTTGCAAAAGAGAGATAGCACACAACTTGTTACTTCTCCTGACTTTGTATCTATGCTCAGTTCCATTTACTGGCTTGTCACAAACCATTTCCACTGAAACATAAATAACAGCTATTTCTGACGCTGCCTTTGTACTAATTTATGAGCAAATCTGATTTAGTTTCACCGGAGAGTTGTTATAGAATGTGACAAGTAAATAAAAAACTTCCTAAATGAAACCTGAAACCAGTCAAAGTGTAAGTTTTCCTGTCTGAAAGTTATTCTATATCACATCGTGTTGGACAAATTACCTTACAATTATAATATTGTCAGCATATTATATCACTGTTTTATTACAAGTAATATTGTCCTGCTATTTACTTTTCAGTAATCCTTTATATTTATAATTATGGAAAACAAGATTCAGCATATTTGCAACTGGTACCAGGTAATGTGTGTGAGGCTGAATGTATTGTTCAGTGCAGTTTTCTTATAAACAACAGGCATTTCACTAAAGGAAATGATTTTCTTCAGTAACAAGAGATCATGAGCTACAGCCATGTCATATTTTTTTTAATAAATGACATTTTGAAAGCTGTCGTGAAAATATCTTGTATAAATTCTGTTAAGGGCAAATATTGCATTTGTGGCTAGAAAATAACATAATAGCAGCCTGTGTTTCCACACACAAAAACTGTTTAAATTAACTGTGTTTGAAATTTGATTTCTTGATCTCTCAATTTCCAACCTTTCTGGATAAATTCACGTCCATTGTCTATTAGGCACAATAATCATATTGTGAGTGTCATGCAAGCGAAAATGTTAAAGCAGTGCAATGAGAAAGAAAAAGTTAAACTGCACATAAATAATGTCAGGAAGATAAACCAAAGCAAATTAAAATGGGGGCAAATTGTTTAACCTTCACATGAACCTAATTGTTAATGCCACAAATTAATCACATAATGTGCCCCTCATCTCAGTGATTACTTATTATTATCACCCAAATTAAGTAAAGTTTTGAAGATAAACCAAACATGCACAAAGAAAAATAAAAAAGGCATCACTGCAAATAAACAGCCTCTTTTCAAATAACACACACATGGAACAATAACAACAATATTAATGAGAATTACAAAATGAACATACCATAAATACTGGTGCTAGTGATCATGTCTTCAAGCCTAAAAACAAGAGGAGAGGGGAAAACAGCAGAATCGGAATTTTCACGAGGAGGAATTCCAAAGGTTGCTTCTCATTACAGGCACTTTTTTTTTCTTTCCTGCAGCTATCGGATTTCACAACTTTAAAAAAACGCACGCTCCCTTGTTCTTTCCTCAGGTATTCATTTAGGTCGCGTAACGCAAAACCAATGGAAACGGAACATGCGAGTACAATGAAAAAAATGAAGAGCCAAATACAATTTTTAAAAAAGCCCTGCACGGAGACGCGTAAACCACACAGTCAGGGCACACGGCTGGAGCCTGTCACTTCTTGCGCGAGTTGAAACGAGAGAATAGGACGCATGTGAGAGACTGTAGATGACATAAAACACACATTCTTCATGCCGCCTATTAGAGGAAGAGGCTAAACCAGCGTGATGCCCCCCCCTCCCTCCCTCCCTTTACTTTTAAAATAGATTACTTGCCAGCAGTTGTCCCACTAAGAGCGCAATGACAACCCATCTATTAACCTCCCGCCTGCGGTTATCGCGGCAAGTTTTATTCAGCCTGACATGCAAAAAAAACTTCTCGTTGCAAAGGAAAGTTATTTAAGAGACTGGTGTGAAACCAGCTCCCCAAACCGCGGAGGGCGAAACGTTAATTGCAAACTCGGTCTAATTCCGGAACTTCATCCCCCCTCTATTTTGTCCTCACTAAAGCGATGACAAGTCGTTTTGCTTTGGAGAATGCAGAACTGACTGTCCGCAGACTGCGCTGCAGATCTGTGATGCGCGACACAGTCTCTCAGCGAGCGTTTTGCGCGCACAGGGCTGCTCCGTTTCTCTTTTTTAATTGTCAACATCACTGATAGACAGGATAAAGACTTACCTGTGTAGGTGACAGGGCAGCGTCAGGGTTTATAGTACCATCGATCCGGTGAGTGCGCAGATGAATGGCTCGCCGAGGTTAAGCGTGGCTGCTCGCGATTTGAAACCATTCCAAGTTAGTGAGGGGAAGACTGACCACAGCCTCTGCCATGTTGGAATTCCAAACCCTGGACAGCTGCTCCACTGACTGAAGGCAGCACGCTGCACACTGCGCATGTTCCCTGCAGCCGGAGCCAAATTCAAAGGGAATCAACCTTAATCAGCAGCAGTTCAAGTAGCCTATCATGACAATGTTTTGCTGTAAGTTATTTAGGCAGAAGGGAGCTGCCTTTTTCTGCCTTGTACTGTATGAACAATCTGCACCATCGTGTGCGTATTTATTAGTATTTGTATGTGGGAAAAAATGTATCTTCATGGTATATTTATCTTTAAACATGATGTGTTATTTCAAGGTTTGAACAGCTTTGTTGAACACTGCCTCTGTTCTGTTGCTAGATATCTGTCAAAAATAAACCTTTTTCACAGCAGCCTTTTGGACATTAAATAGTCGGGTAAACACGGGTAACCAATGATAAGCCTACTAATTAAGGCTCTGTTCAGTTTACTGTTGCACAGCCTTTCCGGTGACTAACACGCTCAACAGCAGCACTCTGACTCTGTTTGACATGAATGTAACAGAACCTTAATTAGTATCAGTGGTAACACCTGTGTCTGTTGCCTTTCTTTGGAGTAATTAATTAAACTAATCTTCATCAACTGCTTGTATACTGTATTCTTCACCACTGCCAGTAGGGGTCATTACAGTTATGAGGGCAACAAAATACACTATGGCAATAGTTCCACATATGGAAATTTTCTTGCAGAGAGTTAAGGAAGAAGATCTGACCGCTTAATATGAAGCCACAGCCATTAGCCGGCTAGCTTAGCTTAGCATATGGTTTATACTATTTGTCCTTTTTTGTGCAGATTGAACAAGATATATTGTGTTAATTTGTGAGATGCTGTTCGGCAGATTTTGTCACCTTCAAATAGAGATAAGCTGGCTGTTTATGCTAAGCTAACGAGCAGCTGGCTGTAGCTTATACATGAAAAATGTGGAATCGATCTTCTCATCTAACGCTCTACAAGAAAGCAAGTAATGGTATCTCCCAAAATATCAAGCTACTTCTTTAAAATGGATTTTGTCCAGAAAATTGCTTTATTTATTTATTCACTGATTGACGGAAACATTTTGCAGGTTATTCTCCGGCCCCCTTCTATCTTATCATTACATGGCCTTGAAAGAGGGAGTTGATCTCTTCTCCTTTGGGGAAGCATAGCACAAAGACCCTGGTTAGACACATGATATGAGGATCGGCACCAAAAGTCCCATTATGCCCTCTCATATCCATACCCAAGGCCCTAGGAGTGATGCATTGATTCAGCCTTCAGTACTCCCTTGACTGCACCATGCTAATTCCAACTACATGGGCTCTTTAGAGAAATCCTACCCAACAGGCAGGACATGGAGTAGTCACTGAGCTGCTCTGGATAATGACAGTTTAAGCTCGTACACTCCAGTATCACTCTCTGCTTCTGCCTCTGTTAGCAGACTGTTAAATCTCTATAATTATTTTCGTACATTGCTAGTTTGAAACAAAAGCTGTAAATCTTGTTCTGGAATAATAATAACATGCATAAACTCCTCAGTCGTCAAAATTTAGAGACAAAAGCAACTGCAGATTCTGTCCGAGATTTAAACCCAAAATGATGAGAAGCAGAGACAATTATTATAATAACAGTATGTGTTTGATTTCATTTGCTCAGCTGCTAATTACATGAGGATGCTAGCACTCATCTGGATTTTTTCTAACCAATGGTGGAATAATGTCCTGTAAGTACTCAGCTGACTCAACCAGAAGTGAGTGTCCACGCTTATAGGAACAGCCTGTGAAAATCTCAGTGTGCTGTGGAGGTCACAGTGAAAACAACAGCAGTGCATTTCCAGGTGTAGCCACGTCCATTGTCTCCTTCCTCATATGGGCATGTTCAGTCTGTGCCTTTGTCCTTGTGTCAGCAGGCAGGACATTCTAAATTATTTTGCTCAGCTGCCTCCCTGAACTCTTGCTACAGCACGTCAATACACACACATCATGCAGACACCCGCACAGTTACAGCTACAGGGATCACAGTTCATGTTCATCACACACTTGAATCCTCCTTGACACATATCAAACCTCAAGGAATAAAAAAGAAAGTTATCCAGTTGTTTTGATTGGGTGTGGGGCAATTTTAGTTCAAAATTTATAATATGTTAGCATTTCGTTAATGTCCAAAGAGCTTTAAGTTGTTGACAAATTTCAGAAAAACAACACAAATTTATCTAAATATTTTACTTATGAATTTTAGGTTTATTACACCTGTGATGACTAATCACAATATTATAGAATAAAAACTGAATGAATGTAAAACACTTGCTGTCAATCCCCTTTCCTGCCCTGCACACACATACATAGTGTATTTCCCGAGGAATGAGGTTAGGGGTTTACACAGCACGTGACTGACTGTTTTTAACCTTCTGCCTACAGACTTATGTCATGTGTGATCACTTCAGCAGTGTTGCTGGGCGTTTATTGTTTCTGCCATGAAACACTGACTTTAGAGAAACCAGCAGCATCTTGATGTAACAAAGGAGTTTTTTTTTTCTCTGATCAGAGGTTTGTAGAATTATTGACTCATCTCTATAGCAATTGTTGTTAAACACTGTGTAAAAATAGCAGCATCAACATTTAACTGAAATAAAAACATATATCGAGTTATTCCCCTGGAACCACAAAAGAAAAGCTTTCTCTTCTCCAAACTGTGCTTATATTTTCCATCATCATACAACTTAACCAAATCCAATTTGAGGCTTTTCATGGAGTAATGCTGTAATGCTGGAGAAAACAACATAATTTGCCAAGATGCTCTACTGTATCTCTGGGCTATCAGAGGCAGTGATTCTCATCAGGAATTGTGATCTTTCAGTAGAAATAATATACACACTGAGGCTTAAGACACTGTAGCCTAGTCATAGCAATGAAACATTTTTACTACAAAAGACCAGCTATTACGAAGAGAAAGAAGTGCAGAAGATACAAAATTACAGGCTTGATTTGCCACATTATTTCAAGATGTGTCCCTGTATAGACCAGGGCTAAAATCCTAATAGGGACAAGCTTGAAGTGAATAGAGCCCACAGAGGATAAGCTACTAAATCTTGCAATAAAAGCAATGTGATTTACAGTAAATTCCACAAGGCTGACAGTGCCACAGCTGAGGGCATAAACACTCCTTTCAATGCTGCGCCTCAGTTCTGTCTGCTGTGAACTACAATCACGCAGGCATGCTGCTCGGCAGCAGTGACTTTGATAAATCACCAGGAAGTCCCAGTGTTGGCTTAAAACTAGAACTTGTTCAGTTGCAATTCTGCATTTGTCCCTCTTTAATGTGTATGGAAGTGGCTTTAGCAGTAATCTGTCAGTGATTGATTAGGTGTGGCCAAATCCCCTCTTCGTTCTCCTCTACTGGCTCACTGTTCAGCCACAGCTGTGTATTTACAGAAAGATGGCTGTATTAGGGGAGAGGCTGCCTTATTTACCTGCAACATAAACATAGTTACTTCCACTTGGGCGACTATGCACACAGGATGACCACCAGTAAAACAAGAAACAAGAAGTGACATGTTCTTGTTGGTGCTGAATTCATGCACCGATGGATAAACAAACACACTTAGGACGGGTTTGTTTTGGGAAGAAGAAATCGCATCTTAAGCTGTCATCCATGTTTGTGACAGTCAACAACCTCACCAGTGTGAGTCTAGACAGAAGAAAAGGAACCACTAATATCTTAATGCAGTGCAACCACCCTTTATCCAGTGAAAAAAAACAGTAACAGAAATGTATGTAACTATTAAAAAATATTTATTTTGTATGTGACACAAGAGGTTGAAAAAGCAATTTAGACAGGGTGCTGGATATTGATCACACTTACCAGCAGATCCATTTTAATTAAATATTAAGAGAGTGTGCTGCATTGATAGCAACTGAGCAGCGACTGTTTCTTGCTTTTCTTTTGCCATTATTAAAAAAAATATATACAAACTAAAAAAGAAGACATCCTTTAATAACACTCACATGTAATTAGACTTGAAGTATTAAAGCAGGGCCGGGTTATAGCAGATGCATTTTGTATTCAAAGAATATTTTAGTTATTTTTAAAAGAAGGTCTGAGTATGAACATCCGTGCATGAATTTTAATGGAGATACTTAAATGGTAATTATTCCACTCAGGCTCAAACGTAGGTAACAAATGGAATTCAATCAGTGTCCGTGCATAATGATGGTCATTAGGAGAAAGAAAATAATAATGACATCCTATCTGCATTAAACCTGCAGACACTTTACACAATGATCCTGCAGCCATTATTGATCTCCATGGAGATAAGCAATTGTCACTTTTCAGCATTGTGCCTGAATGTTAAATACAGCTCATTTTGTTTTTCTGCAAACTATTTCAACCGAT